GGACCTGGGAGTCCAGATGCACAGCAAGGTGATGGCCAGCCAGCAGTGCACCCTCATGGCAAAGGCAGCCATCAGCATCCTGGACTGCATTAGGAGGAGAGCTGCTAGCAGGCTGAGGGAAGTTATCGTTCCCCACTGCTCAGCTGGCAAGGCTGCATCTGGAGAGATGTCCAAGGCTTGGCTTTCCAGTAGAAGAGAGACAGGGACATACTGGAGACAGTCCAGCAAAGGGTCACAGGGATGACTAAGGGGACAGAGCATGGAGATAACTAAAGGGACAGAGCATTTTTCACATAAGAAAAGGCTGTGAGACAGCTTTGACTCATCAGCCAGGAGAAGAGAAAGCATGTGGAGATCTTATCACTGTGTATAAATATCTGATGGGAGTGTCAAGAAGACAGAGCCAAACTATTCTCAGTAGTACCTAGTGGCAGGACAAGAGGCAGTGGGCACTACGGAAACACAGAAAATTCCATCCAATTCCATAAGAAAACACTTTTTTACTATATGGGTGATTGAGCACTGGCACAGATGATCCAGAGAGGTTTTGGAGTCATCATTCTTGGAGGTATTCAAAGCCTGACTGGACACAGTCCTTTGCAACCCACTCCCACTGACCCTGCTTGAGCAGGGGTTGAACTGGAGGGTCTCAAGAGTCTCCTTCCCCCCTCAACAATTCTTTAAAAGCAGAGTTGGATTGGTCTGACATGGAAGCTTGAATAAGGACAGCTTCATTCAAGTATAGATTGGATTAAAGTGAATAGGCTTAGCTCAAAATGGAGCGACTGTTCTGGTTTTGTAAATATATGTAACTGTAGAGGATCTCCTTACAGCCTTCAGTCTTCTCTACAAGCTGCACTGTGTGGTGCCTGGCATAATGAGGATGTAGCACTGCAGGCCCTGCTGGGCATAGAAGGGTGCGTTCTTCAATGGCTTTCTTCTTTCCTTCAAGGTCTCAAAAGATAGCTGTAGGCAATTACTTGCTTTCACAAATTGGACTTTTCTGGATGGCACCAAGTGTTCCACTGTGCAGGCTCTTCAATATGTATTAAGGGGCTGTTTTGCCTGAAAATGTGGCCTTTTTTCTCTGCCATAAGGTGGTAACATCTGCTTCTCTAAACTACATTATACTTGGGAGGGAAAAAGAGCCTATTTTATTTGGTTTATGCTGTCAGGACTTGACTGACTTTTTCACAGCCTTGTAGATTAAGATCCACTATATTTAGTCTCTGTGGAAGCCAGTTAGTCTAGGCAAATGAGAAGAAGATCTGCAAATACTTTACAGGCTTCAGATATTGTCCATGAAACACTGTGTTCAGGAGATGAAAGTGGACCAGCAGCTTCCCCTCCCAGTCCTAGTTGGGGATGGATATTGAGGGGATGCTTGAAAAGTCACATAGGCCTGTTCTGTGCTCTGCTAAAGCTGGAGTTTGTTTTCACCTGGTGTATTTCAGGAGAACTGATGACAATTTTGGCTGAAATTTGGTGGCAAACTTTGGTAAAGTGAGGCCACAAACACAACCAAGTGACAACTTACGTAGATGAAACCTTTGTCATAATGAGCACAAATGATACATACATCAATAAACTTTCAAGATCTTGAATCCAGCAGAAAAGAAAAAGCATAATTGGCTGACTAACAAGTGTGATAGGTGCCCAGCCAGTAATAGCATAGAACTGACTGACTGGTACTGCACCTTCTGTTCAGGAGATGCACAGTTTCCCCCTTTCCAGCTGCTAAAGACGTGCTCTCCACCCCTCTCAATTTGATCTACAGTTATAGAAGCAAAAGCAAACCAGAGACTGTCTGGAGCAAATTGAAGAACCTGGTGCATTCATATCTATTTATAGCTGGATCTGGGGTGCTGGGGTTCTGGGGTGTTTTCCTAAATCATTTTTTAATTACCTCCTAGGCATTTTCTTTGCCTATGAAGGGATGTAACTGGCCACATGGGACTGGAAGTAACACAGACAAGTGCCCACTACGTTTCAATGGCTTCAAGAGCCCACAAAGCTCTAGGACACTGAGACTTGAGTTATGATGCTTTGGGAAGACTGGGATATCTCGGTCATTATAGCCCTATAACCTGCCTACTTTGTAAGGCCTCAGGATGAATTGTGTTAGGCTTTGTCTGATTTTGCCTTAGCCATCCTAGGGCTTTAGTTTTGTTTCTTTATCAATGACAGTTTTTTTATTAGTTTTGTTTTTCCTCATGACAAGGAAGCTGTTGCCTAATTTGTTTTGCTCTTGCTTAATTTCATATAAGCATTAGGAATTACCTTAATTTTATATAGGTAATTATAAGAAGCAGTTATTCAAATGAAACATTTATTGCTGTAGCATAAAGTCATGTGGGATAACTTAGGTGTGGTATGACAGTAGAGGCCATAAAAAAAGTCAGAGGATGTGATGTAGAGGAGTAGAGACATGAGATGGTAATGAAAGGGGCAAAAAATAATACTGGAAACTTAAGGTTATTGACAGTTATTAAAGAACTGTAGAGCTGGACAAAACCAGTTTTAGTGGTAACAAAGAGAAAGAGGAGAGCTGTTCAATTTATGGAGAGAATTTCTTACCTATAGCAAATTTGGATGCAATAGCAACTTGCACCTCAGAGAATAAACATTTAAGTGTACAATTATCCTAGAAAATGTATTAAATTACTCAAATGTGAGCCCTGGACGGAGAAGGAAAAAACCATTGATGACATGCTCTTCAGCAAAGGAGAGGAAGAAACCCCATCATGGACATGATGTTCCTTCTAGCAAAGGACTGGGGATGCTAACAAATTATTTCAAATTCAAACCCCTGTCCTTCTCCCCAGGCTGATCTTTGGGGCTAACTTACTTGATAGCCAGAGGGGCAGAACAAGGGAGAGCTTGTCAGAGGACACTTTTGTATAGCAATCTTTGACTCTATTGCTGAGCTGTACATGGTGTTGTTTAGATAATTGGGACTCCGAAGGTTGATATCATTGTAACTGCACTGTAATAACACTTTAGTGTATTTTAGTTAGGCTGTTGGGATTTTAATTAGTCTAACATAGAATTCTTGGCTTCCCAAATGAGGTGTTTCCCCTTTTGCCCATAATAAGGCTTTGAGTGTAATAACTTGTCACATGGGTACTACGAGGATTGAAGAATGATGAGTGTGTTCACAGAGAACAAAGGACTGTACTGATGCAGTGAAAGAAATCACGGAGAGAAGTAGACAAAGCCAGAATGATCTTCATCCCGATGACTAATGATAGAATACTTGTGCTGTATTACTTATGTTATTTTAGCAATCTCCTGAGCAACCCAGTGGGAGGCGTTCCTGGTGATGTATGAAAGAAGCCAAAAAAAATAACAGCTGTCTGAAAGAATTTTTCTGCCTTAGGTAAAGCAGGGATATGGCGAAGGGAAAAAAATGTTCAGTTGAGATAGTTTGCATAATTCATGCCAATTTCTGCTCTTAGTTTAGTTCACAGTTGATTGGCTTCATCCCATTTGCAGGGAGGGGAAGCACTAGATGTTCCTAGTATATTCTTTCTAAGTTTTTTTTTTTCCAGATGGGTAATTTCAGCCATGTGATGGAACTGGGAGGTTGACATGAAGTTGGCATCAGCTACAACCAGCCACAAATTTCCTCAAAGCCAACTGACTGATTAGGTACAACAATGCAATAAGGCAGTAAGTAAGGAGATGTGAAGGACACAGCACTGTCCATACTGATTCTGACCTCCTTGAGAAGTACTCCAACTCCAGAGCATGCATCTTTTACATGAAAGCACTATTGTAAATAGCTTCCAGTAGCCGTGATATTTTCGGATGATTTAGGTCATACACATCTGTCTTTACCTGCTGCTGGCACCTGAAATTACCGAGTAAACAATTATGTTAAATAATTTAAAGCTACATATTGTGACTATTCCTAAGCAGCAATCAAAACCTAATGTGTTTATATGGATTTAATACAATGTCTTAGGCTTCTCAGAGAAGCTACTTCTACACTTTAATGCTTTAGCAGCTTACACTGAGACACTTAATGGAAACTGAGGGTTGGTACTTAAGGCCATGGGGAGTGAAATGTTCCTTGTTTACCTTGCAAATATTTGGAAACTAATTATTCCTTATATTCTCAATATCTCATTTTGAATTTGGGGGATATTTTATCCATAGGTTAGAAACCTAAAAAAACAACCCCCAAACCGCCATAACACACCTCCCTCCCCCCTCCTCCCAACCCCAAAAAAACCAAACCAGAACAAAAAAAACCCCCACAAACAAAAAAAGCCAACAAACCCCAAACAAGGCAAATATAAACAGCTGAAGACTGTGGACAACATATTTGGGGTAAGTGTAAATTTGGTGCTGACCTGGGAGGCTCATGCTCGGGGTATCAGTGGTCACTTCTTGAGCAGAACACTGGTCAGAGCCTGAAGTGCCCGAGTGCTGCCCTTGGACACACACCATGTGCAGCTGGGACTGACCTGGAGGGCACCCTCAGTGCCTTCTCTTCAGGACGTGTGGCAGGCTGAGCCCAGGGCAGGAGGTGCTCCAGGCAGTGTCCCTGGGCCTGTCCCACAGTGATGTGTGCAGCCAAGAGCCCTTAGCAGGGCAAGGATGGGATGGAGGAGGAGGGGCTGGTGCAGCAGCTCCAAGTCCTCAGCTGGGTGTGTCTCTTTGGGGAGCTGGTGGGTGCAGGGCTGAGAGACCCTCCTGGCTGCAGTGCAGCCCCTAAGCCTGGGGGAAGGGCAGGGAGACCCCAGGAGCATGGCTTCTCTCAGGATGAGGGATGGGGGCATCCTGGTGTGCTGAATCTCCAAAAGGGAGCAACTCTGGATCAAATATATCATTTGCATTGCTGACACTTACAGAATTCACAGTGGTTAGTATAAAAACCTGGCAAAGACCCTTGTGATGTGACAGAGCTCTGCATTATGTAGCACCAGGCACCCTGTTTGCTGGAGAGACCTGAGCTCCACTGTCACAATGGAGACAACACTTCAGGCTCCATTCTTGGAGTGAGAGGGCTGCTAGGATATAAATTTTTTCTCTTTGCCTACAAAACAGGCAGGAGGAAATTGGTCTGATCTAGCAGCAGGAGCTGGTACTTTCTCAAGCTGAACAGCTCAGTGTGTGTGGAAGGGGGTCAGACAGACCTGTTTCACTGACTGGTAACAAAAAAAGAAAATGCTGATTTCCTTTTACACTCCATGACATGGGAGTTGTATTTTTCATCTGTTTTTTTCCCCTAATGCAAAGATGGACTCCCAGGTTGAAACTGTGAGATAAGTGCATGCTGCTCTTCTCCTGTGAAATGAGTTGCTGACCTCAAAGTCTGGGGTGAGGAGATCCACAGTGTGCCCTTCTCATGAATTTTCTTTAATCTAGAAAAGAACATTTGCCTTCCAGTGATGCACCTGTTTTTCTTTCCAAAGTTGACAGTGACGCTGATCAAATGTATTATTTGGTGCTACAGTAGTGCAGTTTAAGAGAACGTGGAGCTTATTAATGATTATTAATCCCTTGACATCCACAGGTGCAGGTGGGTGGTAATTTGGTCTCCTCCAGTGCATGAATTATTCACAGATTTTTTAGAATTTGTAGGTAGACATTAAATTATTCTTCTGTTCCCAGATGAGATGAATGATGGAAACAAACATAAAAAACAAGAAACAAAAAACTATGCCTCTGCTCCAAAGCGAAAAGTCAATACATATTCTCATAATGATTCCGGGGGTTATATGGTAGAACTTTGGGTCATGGTAATCTGTCTAGTGAATTTGAGCAAAGGCAAGGAGTGGAGAAACACTTATGAAAAATATAAAGGAAAATTTAACAGGAATTAATGAACTCAGTGCTACTTGGAAGCTGGTCTGACATAGATATATATTCCTCCCGCAGACAGTTTCTTGGAGAGAGAGTCTATTTTAGAGGGAGATGGTTAAGCATAAAGTACAGCATTAAGTCTTCAGCCTTGGAGGTATGATTGATTTATTTGGAAATGATGAGTGATTATGTCCTAATGATGTTTTGAAAGACATGAAGTGCATTCCACTACGCGAGTGACCCTTGGCTTTAAATTCCAAGAGATGACAGTTCCTGGGCACGTCAGTGAAGGGACAGAGGGAAACTGGCACACTGTGCCACTGTAATCAGTGTGAAACTGTGTCATCTGTTTGATTTCAGTAGCCAATTCTCCAAGAAACCTGAGAAAGCTGTAACTAGGGGGTTGGTGGTTGGGAATAGATTAGCAGAAATACTTTCATCGTTCTTTATAGAAGTAGTTTTGATATTTTTTATACCTCCTGGTCTTTTGCTGAGAAGCTGGATCTGTTTTGCTTTGTGTCCATTTTTTGTGATTCATTCTTTCTGGTCTGTGATACCTGGGTAGTTTGGTTATCCACAGTTCAATTGCTGTGCCTTCTGCTAATACTGTGTTGTGGTGGTGTAAGAGAATCCACTTAGCTTAACAGCTCTGTGGCTGCTTCTCTCTCCCACCTCATTTTCTGAAGGTGAAGATGCCAAATAAGCAATGGTCATGATTCTTGGAGACCTCTGGGGATGTGTTTGATCAGAAACATCCTTGAAGACATGGATTTTCCTTTCATAATAGTTGCTGAACACAGTATAAAAAAATCAGATGTACATCTTATAATTCCACCCCAACAGTGTGACAATCAGTGGCAAAAAATTTGGGAAGTCTTTACTGTTGGAAGTTATCTCTCTCCAACACAAAGAGATAGCATTAATGAATCATCTTGCTGTAATACTGAGAGTCCTTTTAAAGTGTGAGGCTAAGAGCTTTTAAATTTAATTTATACCACAGGATCTGATTTCCAGCTACACTGATCTGTTGTGTCTTCGCTTGCACTAATTGTAACAAAGATGTAATAGTCAATAGTGTAACTGGAAGTATTATCTATAAAGATGTTTGCTGTTAGCTCATATCTCAAATTACTCTGCAACATAAGTGCTATATACAGATCTGAACATCACACTTTCAGAAAGAGAAAGATCAGTCAGAGAGATTCGTGTGATAGTAGCCTTCACATACCTAAAAGGATATTGCCATATAAAGGAATTTTACTTTTTTCCTTCATGTCCTTGGTGCACAGCATATACTGCAACACAGGAGGTTCAGGACTTTGGTAAAGCTTGCTAATGATAAAGGCAGCAAAGCCTCAGTGAAAGTGGCATACAGTGGCATAGCTGTGGAGTCCACATTAATGAAAGTTAAAAACAAGCCAGGAAGGAGTCTGTCTGGAATAGATATAATTAATAGGTGTTGTTATCTCTGCCTTACTGACTTCAGTCCCTTCTTATAACACAAAATGATATTTCTTTCTTATATGTAATATATTTTTCTCTTAAAACATTGTTAGTGGATTGTGTGTATTCAATTATAGTAATTTGTCAGTAAATTTCCCTTCCATTTTCTGTTATTAATAGTATTGTGCAGCTCTAATGTGTGAAGGCCATAATGCATATTGGGAGTTTTAGCAGGCTATAAAAGCCTGTAGGAAGTCCTCGTGCTAACAAGCCTACAGCCTGAATAATGACCAGGTGAAAAGTACGAGATGGAGTACAGTAATTTTTACAGAAAACCATGTTTTCCTTAAAAAGCTATGACCTGAAAGAAGTCTTTTGATTCCAAGTATCAATTTGCTCTTTGAGGAACGTCAGTAAGGCTGGAGATGGCAATTTTTGCAGGATTTCTTTCTGTTTAAGGATCTTAGCAAATTTAAGCTCGGAAATTATCTGTTGAGAGAGATGAGAGAAAGAAGAACAATGCAACACAGCCATATGGGCTTTGTTCTTACACATGGTTTGACTCTGTGGGGGACATCATTCTCCAGCCTGTCAAAGCTCAGCATACAGCGAAAAGTTCTGATGTAATGGATTTTCTTTTTATGAGCAGTCAATTTGTCTGGAGCCCAGGCCTTTAAACTTGGCTGACAGGAAAATTCTCTACGGAGAATTGACTGGCAGACAAACAACACTGGAATTCTAAGTATTTCTTATATCTCTGAAGAATTTGGGTTTCCTTTATAATACCTTAATTATAAAAGCTATGCTTTTAGGATTGCTCTTAATTGAATACACTTGTTTATTTTCTTCCTGCCATGTGAGTTTCCCAACTCCAGCCAACTCTGTCTAGCCAGAGGTGTTCCCTGCAGACTGAAAATCATTTAGATGGTTTATTTTATTTTATGCCTAACTCTTTGTATTCCAATCACTTGATTGACCTGAATCTGTCCAATGGATATATCAAATGTAGTTGGATTCAGTGGTCTTTATGGGTCCCTTCCAACCTGAGATATTCTATGATTCCACTGTTTATATAGAAAGGTCAATAACAAGGATGACACTTAAAAACTGAGCTCCCAGCTACTACCATTAAAAGTTCTTTCGCTGCTTGAGATTACAGCTCAGAAAGATGTAGGTGAAAATTAAGGCAACTTTTAGCAGGAACTATTTGTCTAATTTGCAAGTCCTTACAGCGCTGCTGAAACAGCACTTACAGGAGGGTAAAGAAATGCTGCCTGCACTAGAGACAAACTATGCAGCTAGAATCAAATGCTCATGATGTCTTCTCCTGGCACAACTTCCTCTGTGCTGGCACAAATGTCTGATGAACAAATGTCTCTGATCCCAGGGGGGAAATTTCTATCCCATCTGGTGCAGCTCCACATCCTTTACTGTCAAACAGGGGAGTAAAGGTTGCTTAGCATGAATGACTTCGCTCATGGAGCTTTCTTGTTACTCAGTTTGTTTGTCATGCTGCATCTTCAGCAGCCTCTGAAACGTTTTTACAAAGTCCTCTGTGGAGGAAGGAAAAAGTGTGGCTTTGAACAGATGTCTTAAGATGGAGAGTCATGTCTGTTTTTTTCTTTTGATCCCACTGCCTGGCCAGTTTAGAGGTTGTATGCAGTTCTGATGGATGCACTGCTTTATCTCCATCTTAGCAGGGGAAATAAAATAGTAGCTTTGTCTACTCATCAATACATTGCTGATAAAAGAAGTAGTTGTCTTTCATGATTGGGCATGCATACTGAAGCCCTGTCTGAAAGCCTTTTGTTCCTGCTTTAAACATGGTGAAGGGAACAGACAATGGAAAAAATAAAGTAGGTTTGATTGCAGCAGAGTTGTTTGTTTTTATTGCTTTGATTTTTTACACAAATTGACTAAAATGGAAATGAAGACTGTTGTTTTCTAGTGCAGTTGGTAAACATTCAATAAGTTTTTTGAAGTTTCAGATTTTATGTAGTGAATGCACACAGGAGCCTTGGAAGTGGTCATTCTTGTGTGATATATATTCTCTCCAATTCCACAATGAAAAATTGTAATAAAAGAACACAAAGATCTGTAATTCAGTGCTGCTTCAGAGGCTTTTCCTTTTGCTCTGAACAGAGTACTAATTGCAGAGATTTGACAGCTCTTGGGTATTCATCACATGTACTTGCCCTTACTTTAGATGTTTAATTTAGTTGCAAAATAATTCTTCTTGAATTTGTAATTGTAATAATTGCCATTAATAACCTGGCAAGGTAGTTGGCCTTTGGCATTACATCAGGGGAAAAATGATAGTAAGATAGCTCTTGTCTGAAGATTTAGAGAGCTAGAGAACATCAGGAGGTCGGGGGCGGATGGAGGGGTGTTGAGGGAAGAGAATACCAGAAACAAGGCATCATGACAGGCATCTTGAGGTTTGCAATTGGGATTTATGCAACAGGCTTATGCAATTTGGCTGTACTTCTTTGTAGAGGAAGAAGACAAGGTGTCAAATGCAAAAGAAATAACTGGGAGGATGAGGAAGGTGAAGGCAGGAGAGCATGAAATGACAGGCAGTTGGGAATATTTTGGAAGTAGAACAAAGCCCTGTGCTGAGAGCTGTATCAGTGGTGGCTCATGCAACAGCAAAGCAAAAAGTATTTTTCCACGGGTAGGCTGCCCATTTCAGTAGATGAATAACTCATCCACACTGAGGTAGGATGATCCTACAGCGGAAGGGGTGGGCTTCTCAAAGCAGTACGTGTAACAGCAGCTGTCTCCCTTTCCTGATGGTCTGCTCCTGGTGCAGTGGCCTGGTGGAAGGCAGAGAAAGCAGTGGTGACCTTGCTCTGAGGGTGCAGGAGGAGCAGGGCTGCCTGAGTGTGAGGGGAGCCCTGAGCTGGGGACAGCAGTGGGCTCTATCAGGAGCCCAAGGTGATTCCCAGGGAGCCTGGCTGGGACAGCAGGGCACCAGGGGCTTGGCCAAGCCAAAAGAGTGTCCTTGGGCCTGAAGACAGAGGCAGGCTGGAGGGAGCGGGGAGCCAGGGTAGGGAGAAAAGGCAGGTGGTCATAGAAATTAATGCTTGTCATTGCCACTCAGACCTGGTAGGATTGCCCCTCCCTTGTGTCAGGAAGAATTAAAAGGTGGTCAGTCTTTTAGTGGTAAATGTGACCAACAGCTACCTAGTATGTTGTCTTCCGTTTTTCTGGGGATAGCTCTTCCTCTGCTTTTCCACTGATGGTGACTAACATCCTGGTGATTTCAAGAAGCCAACTCCAGGACATAGTTAAAAATAAAAAAGTACAAGGGGAGGTGTGTGCCAAAGACTGATGCTGCTGTGCCAGACTGATGCTGCTGCAGGTGTGGCTGGGCGTGAGGGTAGCTGAACCAGAGAGACTGAAGCTGTAGGTCAGGGGGTCTCTGGAGCTCTCAGGAGCTGCATGCTCATCCTTATGTCCCTGCCAGTCTACAGCCTTCTCGGGCATGGGCTGACTGTCACAACCTTTGAATCAGTAGGTACTGCTTTGGGACTGGCTTGGGACACGTGTGTTGTGAACTTGTTTTAAACAAGGATGACAACTGATCCCCATTCCTGCCCTTCTTGCTTGCCTTGTGTGATGGTTATCGCAGTAGACCAAATATAGAGAGGAGAGACATAAGGATCTATAAGTTAAGTCCTATTTGCAGTTAAGCCCTTCCATGCCCTCACCAGTGCTGTGAGTGCTGTGGCCACCAGAGGCTGGAGAGGCTGCCTGGCACTTTGTCAGCACCTGGCAGCAGGATACCCTCACACCCCTGGCTCTGGCCTCTAAAATGATGTCCAGACTGATGCAGCCAGTGGTTAATCAGGACACAGAGAGCCCTGGTCTAGCCAGTGGCCTGCCCAAAGCAATTTCCTTCACTTTGTTAGAAAGGAGAAGCACCTTTCTTCACTTCCCAGTGGAACTGGAAAAGTACAGTATGTAATTTTTCTACTACCTGTGAGCAGAATTTGAATTCTTCTCTATTCTTTAAAATAGGAGTTTGCATCTCCTTCATTGAAGTTAAAATGTTCCTCAATGAGGAAAAAGTTTCAACTCTGCCTATCCCAAGCTGTCAAAGCATGCAAGAGCAGCAAACAGATTGTGGGTACCATTAGAAAGCATTAGCGTCTAATTACTTCAAAATGGACCACAAGGGAAAATGAAAGTTATCTATTCTTGGTGTTGCTGTTGTTTCATTTGTCGATAAGCACATCAGTCTTTGGCACTCCTTTTGGCTGTGAAGGAGTATGATTGACTAATAAATGTGTGTTCCTTTGTAGTCAGTTGCAGAATGTTGGAGTATTTTTGTAGCAAAATCCTACTGGAGAATCTCAGAAACGGTTTTTTCCCTTAGCGACACAAGTGGAATAAAAATATATTTCTATACTCCTCATTTTCAATACCTGGGCTGCTAAAGCAGCTGTGTATCTTTTTTTCACTTGCAGCACAGTCATTTGAATATGTGACCTCCAATTTCTGTACAGAAGTTGTAGCTTAAAGGGCAAGACCAGACTATGTACAGAGCGAGCAGAAATGATTCACTGGCTTTTAAATCCAAGCTGATGGCCTTCATATGGCTGTTGAGTCTGTGAACAATGGAAAGTCAATGGGTTTGGTTTGAAAAAGGATGCAATACCTTGATAAAACACAGCAATGTGTCACCCTGTGATGTTCTGGAACACAATAAGTGTTTAATATGATTTTCTTCCACCTGAACAAACACTGTCAATTTGCTCTTGGACACTTATAATTTGCTCCTACATAATTTCTCTTTCCTTGCTTCTACCCCACTCTTTATATGTCAGGCATTGCTTGATGAAAAGAGGTGCTTATTGAAGAAAAAAAAAAGTCTGATCAGGAATGTAAACCCCTAGAAAATAAGACTCAATGCTGTGGAAGAAAGTTTGCAGCAGCTCAGGGCAATGGCCTGTGTAATTGCCAGGTCAATCAAGCCATGAAGCAGAGGGCAAAGGCTTTGATTTCTACTCCTCCCATTCGCAAGTACACGCTGGGCTGTCATTGCCTTCAGCTCCTACCCTTAAAATCTCTCAAACTGCCTTTCTGCTGGTGATTCATACTTGGAAATAAACTTGCAATAAGAGCATTAGTATATATTTTGAAATCACATTCATTAAGCTATTTTTCAGAAAAAGAAACAAAATTTTCTCTGCTGGACATCTGACAAGAGACAACTTGTGTGACTTTGTAGGCTTTGATAATTAGTTATTAGAAGAGGTACATTTTGTTTTCTTTTCATTGGGTTTTTCCCCACTGAGACAGTCAATGTTATCAGTTGATTTCTCTAGGTTATCAGACACATGTTGAGATAAAGGGCAGGTTTTGAAGCAAATCTACATATAAAATGTGCTGCAAGTGTCTGATCTTTGACAGTCAAACAAACTTAGCTTACGGAATCTATCTTCACCTGTAAACTGATTCCTTTCATTTTGTTTGTTTCTTTTTTTTTTTTTAATTGTGAAAGGAAAACATGATAAGTTGGTCAGTGATCCAAAACTAGCTCAACTCAGCAGAAAAAGACAGTAATTACTGCTTGACTCCTGTGATCTATTTTAGCCCCAGCTGAGTTTTTAAAGAGTGATGTGAAAAACCTTTAACATAGTTGTGTTTTATTATACTAAATCACCTTCTGAGCAATCTCACAGAGTGGACAAAGACTCAGTGACCAGTGACGTAAACCTACTCGTCACATTGATGACAGCTTGTTGCCCCAGACTTGGGAAGGGTTAGAGTTACAAATCTGTTTGATTCACTTTCTGAAAAGAAATTAAAGAGTTTGGCAGTCAGCCTAGGACCCTACTAAACAATCTGAGAGAAAAAAAGTTACTTTCTTTCGCTGCTTTCTCAAGGGATGAGGTAGTGTCAGTGCAGTTCAAATGAACTTTGGAAGCAGTAGGTGTCTATTGTTTGGACCAGAGTTACTGGACTAAGGCAGGTAGCCTGCAACAGGGCTGCCTCAGGGATATGATTTTACCCATTAAACGAATTCACACAGAGAAACGTTAAGGTTGGAAAGTTCCTCTGGAGACCATTTAGTTCCCTCCCCTGCTCAGGCAGGGTCAACTAGAGAAGGTTGTTCAGGACTGGGACTCCAAGAAGGGAGACTCCACAACTCCTCTGGGCAACATGTTCCAGTGTTTGACTCACTGTAAAGCAATTTTATTTTTTCTGTTTGAGTGTAATCTCCTGTATTCCGGTTTGCATTCACTGCCTCCTGCTGACAAATACTGACAAAGTTCTTCCATATTCGGACACATCTGCTGATGCTAATTTTCCTTTTTAGGTCCTAACTTTTAATTTTCTTTTTCTACTTACACTGCTAGCCATTTATTTGATTGCTGGGTTTGCTGATTCCACTCGTTTTTTGGGGCTGCAGTCTTGTAACTTCTTCAGACTAGAGAAGATTTTTATTCTAACACTGTGGGGTGCACCTTTAAAATTTTCTATGTAACTGTGTATATTTTCAGAAGACTTCTAACAGTGCATAGATCATCTTGAAGACTGAAAATTCGAGAAAATGTACCCTCATGTAAAAAAAAAAAGGGTAAGTTTAAAAAAAGCACCCAGAAAAAATAATATTTTTACTCTTGAGTGCTTTTGGAAAATAGTTGTCATTTCTTGGAAGGGGTTAAAAAAAATCAACATTTTTTTGATTTTTTTAAATTTCATCAGAGTGTTTCCTCCATGTGAAAAATTTTCTAGAGAAGCAGGAACAGATTTAACCCCTATTCTAGGATTTACCTCAGATTTCATGAATATAAAAATATATATTGATTTTTCTAAAAGCAATTCCCATAGCAGAAGCCAGAAGGATTGCTGTCTTGACTTTGCATCCTTTAAAATTCTAATTATAAATTTGATCTGCCACTCCATTTGAATTTTAAAAAAGTATTAACCCCTTAGCTTGGAACTACATTTGTGTTTTCTAAAAATGTTGTTTCCTTTTGCAGAAAAACAGCAATATCTTTTTTTTTTTTTTGGTGGTTTAACTAATATTTCCCCATCTGTGCTTTGCTTCTGCGCTCTCTTTGTGGGAAAACTGAAGTCACAACCAGAATGCCTGGCAACAGAAGCAATGGACTTGATATTTATATTAGAACTGTAACACATGGACATCTGTTCTCTCTACCCTTTAAAAGATATTGCTTCCAAGGACTAATATTTGGTTTTTTCAACTGTGGGCTGCTGATGATAGGTAAGGTTGATGGGAGCCTTTAAAGAGACTCCACTGTAGCCCATGGGGTGGTCCCTGCCCTGCAGATGCCCCGGGGCAGATGGATGGATGGACAGACAGAGGTGTCTTTTTCCAGCCTGGGGGCTGAGGCAGTGCTGGGTTGGCCTCCTTGAAGTGCTGAGGCAGAGCTGAGTGACTCTGAGCCCTCTTTCAAGATTTGCTGCTGATTTGCTGAGAGATCACTTCCTTCTGCCTCCGTTTTCTTACATATAAAATAAGAATATTGAAACCAGTCTCATTTGATCAAATATTTTGAGCTCTACCGAAGGAAATGTGCTGGTCTTAGAGGTCTTCATCAGTAAGACATTCACCTATAAAAGCGAGAGGACCAAAGAAATTTCAGTACTGCAGAACAGCAGCGACAGGGAGGATGCATTCAGCAAGAGATTAGTATTCACCCTTAATATGTGTGTCTAATAATTATTTTTCTCCTGATTTGGAGTGAGATTTTTGTGGCAGTCAGCTTTCTGTTCAGAAGCAGTTTTGAATGAACAGGTGGGCTGGCATGTCTGCACTTTGCCTTTTCCTTTGGGAGCTTGATACCTGTTATCCCAAAATGTCTGGACGCTGTATTGGCAGTCTCATAGGAACTCAGTCTTCCTGAGGGTGGGTTCAGCCCCTAAACACACATATTCATACAGCGGTTGAATTACAGAGTGTTGAAGATGTGGATGCTGCACTGTTTATTATCTTCCTTCTGGAAGGTATGTCTAAGGCTTGAACCCTGAACTGCGATAATTAAAATGCCTCACCGGGGATGCCAAGATGAGATGGAAATGCCTATTCCTGGCTACAACCGGTGTAGCCTGCCCTTAGAGCAAATGCAGCAGAGATAAGCCTGTTCTCTTGCTAAAGAGGTGTTGGATAGTCTGCATACCTACTCCTGCATTTTTACTAGCAGGTAACAGGCTTAATTACCCAGACGCAAAGCAAAAGCACCCTGTGCACAAACCTTTTCAGGAGGCACAGGAGCCAGGCTGCAGCCAAACAGGGTACTCCCTTTCTGCCCTGCCTCAGGCTGCAGATTGGTTTTGGCTTTGGGAAGTTTCTTTGTAGCATTTCTGCTTAGGTAAGAACATTTTTAAGTGGTAGGCTGAGGGCTAAACCGTAGCACGGGGAAGATGGGAAGAATGTGTCCCCCTATTTTCTTCCCACAATTATTTTATTTCATTTTCAAACGCCATCTAAGACAACATTAGGGATTGTGATGCCCAAATATTTATCTAGCAGGGGTTAGCTTGTACTGCCTATATTTCTTCTCTCCTGGCTACAGCACTGTACATTTCCACCACCTCTACAATACTTCTTGCTTAGAAATAAGAAACTGTCAGTCTTGAATGAGCTCTATGTTAATGCACCGAGTATGGGGATGAAGGAAGGCAAAATTATTTCTATGCAGTGAGAGGTGGGAAAGTTACACTGTTCTTGTATTGAGAGGCTTGCTTGCAGTGCTCAGGCAACAGTACAAACAACAGTAGGAAAGAAAAATGCTGCATGAAAAGTGAGACAGGGCATTTCACAAAGGCTATGATTCAATGATAACCTCGACCTGAAATGTTTGGGAACTGACTCATGGATCTATAACTCTTAAATCACTGAACAAACCAACACCAAATAAAAGAGTTAGAGGTGCAGACTTCTCTGTGAGAAGTTTGTAAAATCCTTGATGTAAAATCCTTTTCACCTTGGAAAATCTTTCTCTCCTCCCCTGTACACACCTATGCCAGCTGGTAATTGCCTGAGCTGGAGGTGTGCCATAGCCCAGCACCTTACAGCCCTTCATCTGGTTCAGAGGTTATTGATCCCAGAGTGTCCTAGAAATTAGAGCAAACAATGCAACAAAGCACTGGGGTAACAAAACTGTCCTTTCTTTGGTGAATAATACTTGTGGCATTTCAACTGCATTGTATGGGTTAAAATCATCAACATGGAAACAGCAGTTTATTTCAGCTCCAGCAAAACTAACTTACTTGTCTTAATTCGTTGGGGTTTTTAAAGACAAAGGTACAATCCTTCTAATTAGGGGAAAAATATTTTTTGTTAAGTTAACAACCAATCTGAGAAATCAATTATTTGTGTAGCCCTATTTCATATCATCGTTGCAGTTGGTGCCAAGCTGTTTTAGTTCAATGTCATTAGCACGAATTGTAATCTTAGCCATATTAGTTTGGAGTTTGCTGATCTTTAAACCTCTTTTGTAATTGGCAAAATTCTGAGGAAAAAGCCTGTGACAGAAGCTTGCAATAAATATAATTGGTTGCAGACAGCTAAACAAATCTCTGCTTAAAACAGGTAAAGCTTGTGGTAGTAAATAAATGTGAAATGGTGAGTGGGAACTGTGGACTGGCTAGTTCAGCAGCTGAATAGTTTAATGAAGCAGTTGATTTAGAACTCTGTCCACAAGGCTTGGGCTAAAACTTTTGTAGTAAATCTGAATCATGCATTGATGGCCTTGGTGAAATTAGGTTTTTTGCTTTGTAGGATTACATATCTGATGAACAAAAAAAAAATTGAATTGTTATGGTTTGCTTGGCAAACATTTGGCTATAAATGCCATATGACATCTGATTTTTGGCTTTGGACAAAAACTCCAAAACAAAAATACCTTACTTAGATAGTGCAAGGTGTTATGAGAAAATGGATAAGTTCACAACTGGTCTGCTTGCTGGCATACCCCAATATAGTTGTTGATGGGAGGTTGTTGGTGAGTTTCTAGCAATGGATGTTTTCTGATTCAGCATTGCTGAATGTTTCTGCCATTTTGCCAATGATTTGAAACCTGAGGCAATACATACCTTGCAAATCACTGAGCAACAAACGTTAAATATGAGGTTTCTGAGGCACTAATCAAGACTGTCTACTTGTATGACTGTTTTGGTGATGTGCCTCTTGATTTAGCCAACAGTAGGGTAATAAGTGCATGTGGGAACTGAGGGCAAGGACCTGCTTAACAGCTGATACTCTGCCTTGGAAAGCAGTAGGCTAGAATAAGATAAGAGGTAGCTTGAGAAGTCCTGTCTTTAGCTGGAGCTCTGAGGGAATGCCTGGGGCAACTAGAGGCCAGTAGGATTTTGAAAAAGAGAAACACTTGGTTTACAAATAATGTGCCTGCTTTGCAGTAAGAATTCCTTATGTATCTTGCTTGTGAAATTCAAGAACGCTTGTGAAATTCAAGAACTCTGCTCTCTTCATCTCCAATGCTGCTGCAAAAGCCTAAGCTGAAAGAAAATTTGTATATTTCTGCAAGTACCAGACTTTGTAGGAGGCCCAGAGATAAAAGCAAAGATGATGCATCTTCATTCAAAAAGGTGTGATAAGTTTGGGGATTTTTCATTGCTGTCTTCCTTTCCTTCCCTTCCAGTGATTAGAGACAAACATTTCATGGAATAGGCTGATGACTGGTGGTTGGAAGGAGATCAAGCAAATCTAAGACTCTTTCTTTTGCGAAGCAGATTTCTAGCCACTAGAACACCTCCTTGAAATTGCAGCTGCACACCTTTTTATCTCTTTATTTCAGCAGCTGGTGTAGTTAGGTTATTTTAGTGAATCACTTGCTAATTTTCTACAGTATAATTGCTTGATAGAAAATATTTTTAGAGAGATATGACCTCTCAGAAGCCTCTGAGTGCAGCTTAGGACCAGTCTGTTCCTGTGACACATGAAATACATCTTAATCCATTAAGGTCAGATGAACTGGACACTTGCTCACAGGGGCAGGGTCTTCAACCAAAAGAATTTATACCGAATAAATGCTTTTTTAGAACTCTTTGCATGAATTTCTAACCTTTAAATAAGTCACCCCTTGGGAGATCACTGATGACAGAGCCACTTGTCTCAAAATTCAGCCGCTTGATCTTTATTGAACTTGATGAGCAAACATTTAAATGATAATTGAGACACTAATTAAATGCGGTGCCTGTTCTGTGGTTGAGAATTGAAAGGAAAGACTAAATTATTTAATGACAATTTGGGGTGTTACAGGTCCAGATCTTTAGCAGACTTGGAAGAAAGAAGGGTTTGTTCAGATGTTTGAACTGTCTGCTGCTGCTGCCTAGTGCTCAGAACATCACAGTTGATCCCCTGGCATTACAAAAGCATAAACTAGGAGCCCAGTCACCACAGTTTGCTACTGAGTGCCAGGACATTATAATTGCTCTGGTGAGCAAAATCGAACCTTGGTTTTGTTTTGCCCTTTCTTGTCATTTTTATTGGGCAATCTTGACACTATTATCTATGTCTGCATTTGTAAGTTCACATACCTTTTTAAAACACGAACTGACTCCTGACTGCAATCGAATTGTTTAATTTTGTATTTCAAAATATTCTGTATTTCCTTAATATCAATTACTAATAAATTAGTTGCTTCTTCTTACATTTCCCTGCCCTTTATCGCTGTTCATGTACATCCCATTTCTGCTCTTTTTCCCTATAGAAATACTTATGGCATCTGTTAAGGTGTGAGGTTATTAGACCTAATCAAAATGTCTCAGGCTCTTTAGTAAGTCACATATTACTGTATTCACAAATGACTTTAGGTGACTATTCCTCCCAGTGCAGTCGCGTATCACTGCTACTCTGCCTGTCCAGGAAGAAGAAAAGTGAAACTCGTGCTTGGCACTTCCATAGGGATCTCTGAGGTAGGTAGAAATTTCATCATTGCCAGTGATTTGTGCCCTGTGCAGAACAGATTTGTTCAACAGGCCTGACAATACTTATGAGCTTGGTACAGCGCCAGTTTTGCTTCCTCCTTTCCTATCCTTTCCGTACCGACAGTGTGCAGCAGACCAATTTCCTTCGCTGGGGGGAGTCAGGAACTGCTATGGGAACAGATGCTAGGGAAGCAGATGGGGCAAGAGTTGGTTTGGAGCAATGACAACTCCGTAACCTTTCAGCGTCAGCCTGAGATTGCAACTTTCCCTGTATTCCCTGGCAGAAGGCAAGTCCAGGCACAGGAGAAAGCACAGGCTTAGCCCCGCGCTCAAGCAGTGGTAGGTGGCAGCTGGGCTTATTGAGCACAGCGTGCTGGCCCTGAAAAGGCAAATCCTGCTGGAGCAGGGCTTTTCCTGTGTTAGAAAGGAAGTACTTGGGGCTTTTTGAAGAGTTTGGCCTCGCGGGGCCTACCAACCCAGCAGCAATATGAACTCTTGTTTTACATGTGCTGAAGCAGAGGCTCTTTGTGAACTGATCACAAGTTGCTTCTCTGGTAAGGGACATTGACTCCCACACTGTTCTGTAAAACTGAGTGACAAGTGTGTGTCCCCGGCCACCCAGAAGGCCCAGGGCAGAGCAAGGTGTGACACAAAGATGCACAGCCTCCCAGCCAGGCAGCCGACATGCAGCTCCCCATGTGGAGCACAGCTGGGCTCTCCTCCATTTCCACAGGGGCAAAGTCAGGAGTTTTGTTCCTCTTTGTCTTTTGTTAAGGGGCAAGGGGATGTTTGGTGTTTGTGTTTGCACATTTTGGAGGAAAAAAAAAGCCCAAACAACAACAACATGGTTCTCCACCGTGATTTATTTGGCTGTTTCATAGTATAGTGGAGAACTTCAAAATTCTGAGGACATAAGTCTTCAGTAGCTGAATTAAATTTGCTCTTTCAGCTAGGTAAAATCCCGTTTAAATGTTCTCAATTGTAAATCAGGATTTAAAACATGTAATGAGGCTGCAGGGAGTTCCTTCTTTCGAAGTATGTATCCCAGACACCCCAGGTGGTTTCTTCAGGATGCGTTACAAAATATTAACTATGGCAAACTATGAGGCTAAGGCCAAACAAGTTCTTTTTGGGTCACGCATTAATTCTTTCTGGTGATTGATAAACATGAAGATTGTTAAGATTAAGAGGTACCCTTCCTTTTATTTAAAAATGTACTTCAAACCTGACCACCTGACCATCAAAATAATTTATATTTTTTCAACCTTGAAATATGTTTTAATTAATGGAATTTCCTCTTCTGAAGCTGAATGACTGTTAACACAGAATCTGACTCAAAAGCTGCCTTCCTATGCATAATTTATTTATCAGGGAACCAATGATAACATATTAGCACATACCTGAAGATACTTGGTCCCATTGTGATGAGAGGCCTTAAGAGCAATGGCATGGATGTGATGGGACTGGAAATAAAATTAATGTAATTGTACATTTAGTGCATTTGTTCACAGAGCTCCCAAAAATTTTCTTTATTAAGTGACTGTCACTTAAGAAGCAATAGAAGAGCAAAAATAAATGACTTTGTGCAGCACATCTTGGTTTGCTATATTACTCTTCAATGTAAGATTTTACCTTGTGTCTCAGGACCACATGAATCACAGCGAAGGGAAGCTGACAGCTTCCTAATACTCTTTTTGCATGAGCCTGTCTATCCCTTTTCCATCCATTCATCCAAAACCCAAAATTAAACTAAACAAAAACCCAACGCGGTACTTGGCTGAAATGCTTTTTTGTATATGTATATAGACCTAAATCAGAGACTCTTCATAAAGTACTGTGTGTTGGGTAACTTGGAATAAAAATACTGTTCAGCTGATGGCTCATGCTGGTGGTACCTGTCATGTGTGTCAAACGTCAGGTTTTTCATGGTGCTAAGTGGAAGGTGAATGCCAAGTGGGCCTGTGTGTGTTACCAGCTGTCAGGCTGAACTTGAGAAGCACTATTAAGGTATCTCCCTGCAGGAAGCTGTTCTGTCAGCTGGATCACAGTGTGGAGATGCTGTGATTTTCTGTGGTGGACAAAGGCCAGGCTCCTCTGAGGAGATGTGGTCAAGCAGAGCTTTGCAGTCTGCTGCAGTGGTCGAGGTTCCTAATGTGACACTTGTCACCAGCCAACTGCACATTCTCCAAGATGGGAGAGTGGTTCTGAGAGTTATATTAGCAAAATATAAAAATATATGTCATTGTCACACATTGGGCACTGTGGATTTACAGCTTCAGAAAAAAATCAGTATCTATTGCTTGAGAAGGCTGATATCAGCTGATAAAGCTGATTTGTGTCATTATGAGAAGTCCGGTCTCATCCAAAAAAATTATAGAGGAGCAGGGATGGGTCAGCAGTTGGCAGTTTGGAGAAGAATGTCACAACCTATGAATATGTTTTCTTACATCATGAGTGCTAGGAGACAAAGATGAAAACCAGCTGATAGGATACAGGCAACCACTACAGAGGAAATACTGGATGTCAGAAGAGGGGCGGGAAGCAATGCCAAGGTCCAGAACACCTTTAGATGCTGGAACCACCTGAAACCTCCTGAAATCACTCACCACGGCTCAAACCGCTTTTAATAAACAGGTAACTAAAATTCAAGCACTTCCTTTATAAAGCCTTTTGGTTTCAGGAAAGTGAATCACTGTCTGACAGTTCGGTGGGAGGTTATTCATCCAGGATTGCTTCACTCCTTCGTGGAGATGCTTGGTGAGCAGCTCTGCACGCTGGCAGGCTGCTTCAGCCAGGCATGTACTCCTACAAGTGCCACCTGCTCTGTTATAATCCTTGCCTCGCTGAAGTCGCCAGCATCTTTCTGCTTGATCTGCAGGGTAACACCCTCGTGTTGAACTTGGCTGCTCTTTTAGGAGAGTAACAGTTTGAGGAGCTGTTTGGCTCAGTAGCACTTGGCAACCTCAGGAAGCAAATGCATTCAGCTGGGCAGTGGGCACACGTACGTGCAAGGGGGGCTGCTGTGTGCCCCATCCTGCAGTGTTAGTTCACAGCATGCCTGTGCCTCGGAGGCACTCGCTGTGCAGCTGACACAGCCCTCAGGCATCAGGCAGCTGGGGAAATTGCCACAGAAGCTTTAGCAAGAAAACACATAATAGCCAAAGTCGAAGGGTGAATTGAGGTACAGTGGGGGAGGCAGCTATTATGTTCTAGCTCTCTTTAAAAACCATTCTGAGACGTGTAAGGTATTGTGTAGTGTTTGTTGCTGGATTTAAGACTGCTGACTGCCGGGCGGTGAAGGTCACTTTGTGCTTCCTTCTTTAAGGCAAGTTGCTGCTGTTTATATTAACAAGGGAGCAGCAGTGCTGGCTAACTCCTGGCATGTTAACCTGCATCTCTCCCGGGCAGCAGGCCTCTGCTGCACTCCCTCAGGACCTGTATAGTTGGAGAGTTGTATATCATGTAGGTGTCAAGCCCAATCAGAGCTTCCTTGTCAGGATGTGTTAAGGCAGCTGCCTGCAATTTGTGTTACAGTGTGCATCTCTGCCAATAAACTACTTTTGCTCTCCCTTGTGCTGCGTCTGCCGTCTGCAGGGCTGCTGGGAGAGCTGCCAGAGAGAGAGAGCAACTGCAGGCACAAAGGTGGCTGGGTGGCACCTCTTGTAATCTGTGTTCTGCATGATGTATTGATTGACTTTGTGGATGGGTCCCAGGGGCTGAACACAAACAGCATGTACCAGAGCATGACATTTTAATCAGAGACAGGTTTAACTACTGGGAGCAGCTCGGGTAATGTCTACTTTAAAAAAAAAAAAAAATTAAAGAAAGAAAATTACACCAAAAAAAAAAAAAGGGTGTATGCTGGTTATTGCTTAGGAACTCTGTGTAGTCGTGCAGTTAAACATGAAGTACATATGAGTAGGTTGTGACAGGACCAAGAGCACTTTGAAGTAAAGCTGTAGTAAGTGTAAATTGGGGATACAAGTCAAGACACTAAAATAAGCTTTTTGCATGTGCACACGCAGACGCCAGGGCTAAGCAGCAGATCCTGGTCAGTGCAGCACCATTCCTGTCAGCCAGCTGTAAAATCACTTGGCTCAGGGGATAGAAAGGTGTTCATGCTGCAGCAAGTTGGGCTGGCAGGGAACTAGAGAGATTTAAAAGAAGGTGGCTGGAGTTTTCTCTGTATTTGCAACGATAGGGAGTTGTGAGAAAGATGGAGCTCTTTTGGGGTTGGGTCAGCTCGCCCCACCAATATCTTGAGTAAGGGTTGAAAAATGACCGCCTCAGAAACACTAAGGAATGTTATCCTCCTCCTTAGCCTGTAACACACTGTGTAGCAGAGTTTAACCTTCTATAGTAAAATCTCAGGCTCCCTGAAGAGCTCTGTTAACCTTGAAAATCTGTGTAGTATGTTACTTTCTACCTGCAAAGTAGAAAGCACCTCTTATTCCCAGGCATGAATGACACTGAGTCTGGTCCAGAGGCAGACTTGAAAGGACATCCGTCTGCTGTTTGTGGGAATTTAACTGAGCAGAAACTTCTGAAACACCAAAAACAGAGAGAATAGCAGAATTATTCCCAAAGCGCTGCCTGCCTTCTAATTGCTGGCCATCTCCTTTTGTGAAAAGAAGCAAGAGAAAGAGTTCACACAAGCACGAGTGCTTTGCAGACTTCTCTTTTGGGGAAAGCAGTTGTCTTTCTTCTCTTGTTTTTGGATGCTTAAAATGAGGAAAGCAACATATCAGACTGCAGAGAGAGGAAAACCAGTCAATGTTACCTTGGTATCTGATGATCAAAGGTATGACCCCCCTCTGCTGTGCCCCAAGAATGGCAGTAACCATTTCCTGAGGGAACAGCACGTAGTTCAAAGCAGGAAGTGTCCCTTCCCTCCCTGTGTGGCCACACAGACCAGGAGCTACCTGCCTGCCTGCCTTGAGAGAGCAGGGTATTTAGCTTTTCCCAATAGAAAAAGGGCAGCTTAACCAGTTCTCCTCTACCAACAAAAAGAAGCAGGGAGATGAGTCTCAGAGAATGACTATTGCCTGGGTAGTGGCACAGCTGGCACCTATTTCCTTGCGAAGAACCAGTGGGCTACAGTTATTAAGTAACAGAATTTTTAAAATTCATGGTCAGCTTTACCACTGGGCTTCCTTTCATCATTTCAAAAGTCTGTGATTTTATTCTGACTACTATAGTTAAAATGCAGAAAATAATAGAAGCTAAGAGAAAAACTGTTTGTTCTTTGCATTCAACTACCATTTTACTGTGTGCATTTTAACGCTCAAAATGTAATGGCTGCTGGCTGGCATTTCTATCCTGTTGTAGTGCCTGGATTCCTCTCATGTTTCTAATGAGGCACAAAGTATAGAGAACATAAATGACAGGAAAAAGCTACAGTTTTTTTAATGACCAAAATCATATATATTTTAAAGCTCTAGCCTAAGGTTACAGCACAACAAAGCAGGCAATGTCTCTTTCATCTGCAGTTTACTTGAAAACTAGGACTGAGTTTCAGTCTCCCCAGGTGACAGAAAGCAGCAGAGAACCCCCAGTACAAAAGCAAAGACCCAGTCATGCACCATCCAGCACTGTAGAGTCTATGTGAGCTATCTTCCAAGAATATGGTGATACCTTTCTTTACAGGAGTAAAGCAGATAAGGGAAGGACTGTGAGAGAGCCAAATGAGACAAAAGGAAATGAAGGAACAATTAAAATGAGTCAATACTGTGAAGCTATTAGGTGAGGGCATTACAATATCTGATGTGAGAGATCTTAATTGGGACACACGTAACATTTGCCCCCACCTCACCAGGCAAAGGGTTGCACTGACTTTGCTGTTAGAAATGATGAACAGCATTGGCTCATCTAAGTTCTTAATATACATCACACCTTTTGTATGAATTTTCTCACGGAACTCTGGGGCAACTTTCTGAGATGAGAATTATTTTTTGTCACCTGCAAATTGCACTTTTGTGAGGAGCTATACCAAGGAAAAAGTAGGTGAGATGTTGTTGGGGCAAGCTGAAGCACCAAGGCTGCACAGCTGACAAATGAGATTTCTGACAAGGAGAGGTGTAGAGGAAAAAAAAAAAAAAGAGCCAAGTTCAATTCCTGGTGATTCTAACAGATTGGTGAAATTGCAGGCTGTCATTGGGAAAATCCTGTTTCTCAGACAAAAATGGACAGGGGACACTGACATGAAAATACCAGTGTGAGTCGGCCTCTGAATTATGTTGTTAGGTTTAAGTAGTCTTTACTTGGATCTCAGCAAAGGATTAAGACAGTGTTTTTACCAAGCTCATGGTTAGTGCTTGCATTACAGTAACATAACAGGTATGTTCAGGACTCATTACACCAACTGCAGTTTGCACAAGCAGCATACATTGAAGGTATTGTGTAAGTATGCATATATATTTGGTGAAACCCCCTGAGAACCATAATATCAGTTTGGAGAGAGGAACGACAAGAAAGGGAATCAAAAGAACTGGCTCATATTCCGTCTGTAGAGTTGCACTTCAGGGGAAAAAAAATTAATCCAGAACCGAAAAAGAAACACTACATAAAGCTCTGGGTTTCTCATCCCTTAACCTTGTATCCTGCCTATTTTGTGAGAAAGTATTCTTGGAAATATTCAGTGGCAAAGAATCCATGCAGTATCAGGATTGTTTTTTGCTCTTTCTGGTGCATGGCAGAGTTGCTGTGTGATGATGGAGCAGAAGCAGCCCAAAGGCTTTTTGTATTTTCTGGACACATGGTGTTGGCACATGAATTTATTCCTTGGGCTTGAACTTCCACTAAGTCAATGCATGCTGGACTACTAAAAGTGTAACAAAATAGAATTTGGGGCAGGCGAAACTGATAAGAGATTTGCTCACACTGGGAGTGTGAATCAGACCTTTTCTGCAGCAAAGTTGCAAACATTACCTGAATGTTGAGTGCACCAAGAGCTGATCACAGAGACGGTGAACTTCTCCGCTTGGTTGCAGCTCTGATCTGATAGTGGGGAGTACCTGTTCGTTTGTGTACTTAAACAATTGCCTGCAAACTAGCAACAAAATGAAGTATCCACGATGCTTTTGACAACTTTGAGGTAGGAGAGCACAATGAGCACGGCAGCTATAGATGTATGTGCTGATATTAAGCAGTGCTTTTTGAGATAGTGCAGTGGATTTAGTTCGTATTTAAGTAAAGCCTTGGACTATCATTTCTGAGATATTTTCATGTCTACCTTTGATCTAAAATGTGTTAATCTAATGAGTGGGTAGAGAAAATGAGTTACTATGGGAACGAGGTCTTTCTCTAACTTACTGCCCCAGCTGGCTGCTCTGGCAATCGAAGCACGCCGCAGAACGGAGCAAGGCCGCCAGAGACAAACGTGCATTTCAGTCTGAGAGGGAGCTTTCGAGGTTGGGTTTGGGGTACAGAGGATACCAGCAGACCTCTGGGAGTTGCATCGTGTGCTTAAAGCAAAATGAGAGGAAGAGGAGTGAGCTGGCATCTGACTGTGAAAAGGAAAAAAACCCCAAAAGCGAGAGTCACCTAGTGGGAAGGAGATAAAGGCTCTGCTGCTGCATTTCTTGGGGTGTAAGTGATAAATGATTAGGGACAGCTGTTAAAGCTTGAAGCTTCTAAATCTGTTCTGATGGTCATTAACACGGTATTTCATCATTAAATAGCTCCATGATCTGCAGCCAAAGCTGCTCTGCTTCTCAACGTCTCCCCAGAAAAAATAAGCATTGATCATTATCACCATACTATCCCTCCTAATTTGCTTACTGTTCAAA